TCTATTACTATTAAAATTACACTCCTTGTATTCGATTGTAAATCTACTCAAACAAAACTTTTAGACTCTAAGGTTGTTTTGCTTCAACCCTCTCTATAGTCTTATCAACAAGAAAAATATCAAAAGAAAAAAGCATACACCAAGGTACATCCTCTTGCAAATGTCTAATAAGAACATCCATAATTATAGCAAAAAAGATATGGGCTTCAAGTTGATCCTTCATGTAATCCAAGTGAAATAGAAAAATACTTGGTCAAATCACCTTGTGTTTTAATAAAAATAAGAACACTTGCATACATATCCTCAATGACTTGAATATAAGCATTATTAACTCCTTTTCTAAAACTTTCCAGAGAACTTCTCTTAAAACTTTATCATAAGTTTTCTCTAAATCCATAAATATCATATGAAAATCCTCCTTATTCTCACTACACTTCTCCATAAACACTCAAATGTATGGCTTCTATTTTTTGGATATCTAGAGGAATTCGAAGATCAAGAATTTGTATATGATAAGTAGAGGACGGCTCCAAAAATATGATAGTTGACTCATTGAGCTTCAGCACCCTTACTTCAAACAATTATCACAAAACTTATGAGCCAAGGTCCTCCTATTTTGTAAGAGAAATTTGAGCACATACTCATTCATCCAATCAATGAAGAGAAAAAAATCACTCCACAATTAAAAATTTAGTTTATGCATATACAAATCTTCATTTTCTATCAAATAAGACCTCCAATTATATGGATAGTGATAACAAAATGTGAGATGGTGCAGGAGATGAAATTGAGTCACCTCAATGTTATGAGAATTTTGGAGATTAAAAATCTTTCTATTGATGAGCCAAAATTAAAAGTAATTCTATTTAATGATGATCTTGAAGGTCAAAGAAAAAATATGACGAAAAAGTTAATCATATTATTCATTTTAATGAATAGTCGACTATTGTATCTTGAATCTAAATATTGTACTTAATAGTTCAATCTTACTTTTTATGAACCATTCAAGTTTTCAAAATTAATATTAGAATTAAATGAGTTATCATTTTTTTATCATTCTTAATATTATACTTATTTCATTTCTATGTACTATATTTTAAGATATAAAAATTATAATATTATGTCAAATTTGTATTTATGTCCTGAATTTTTTATAATTAATGTGCCCCAAGTAAGAGTCATGTCGTGTCTTATCTTGTCGTGTCAGTGCATCCTAGCACAACAAAAATCCCTACCCAACATGAGCACCTAAACCTCACTTTCATGCTGATGGAGAAAGTATACATGGAGTAGGTTGTGTATTACCCTCCAATTATATGGATGGTGATAACAAAATGTGAGATGGTGCAGGATATGGGATTGAGTCACCTCAATGTTATGAGAATTTTGGAGATTAAAAATCTTTCTATTGATGAGCCAAAATTAAAAGTAATTCTATTTAATGATGATCTAAAATGAAATATATAGAGTGTAATTTTAGTAGTAATAGACCTAGTGAGGGGATTGTGACTTTGGGCGATCAAGTCATTAATAAGAGTACACGTTTTAGATATCTTGGATCTATTATTCAGAGTGATGGTGAAATAGATGGGGATATTATCAGCAGAATTCAAGTTGGATGGTTGAAGTGGAGGAATGCATCGGGCTTGTTATGTGATAGAAATGTACCCCTCAAACTTAAGGTAAAATTCTATAAGATGGTAGTGAGGCCTGCAATGCTTTATGGTGCCGAATGTTGGCCATTAAAAGAGAAGCATAATAAGTGGCTTTACCCTTAGAGATAGGATACGAAATGAGCATATACATGAAAAGGTTGGAGTAGCTCCAGTAGAAGATAAGATTAGAGAGAGTCGCCTTAGATGGTTTGGTCACTTATAAAGGCGGCTTTCCGATGACCTGGTTAGGAGAGTAGAGGTATTAAATTTGACTTGTGTTAAGAAAGACTTGGTTATAAAATATTAGGAATGACCTTTCTTTATTAGATTTAAATGAGAATTTGACTTTTAATAGGACACAATGGAGAAAAAGGATTCATGTAGCCGACCCCACGTAGTGGGATAAATGCTTGATGTTGTTGTTGTTGTTGTTGATGATGATCTTGAAGGTCAAAGAAAAAAATATGACGAAAAAGTTAATCATATTATTCATTTTAATGAATAGTCGACTATTGTATCTTGAATCTAAATATTGTACTTAATAGTTCAATCTTACTTTTTATGAACCATTCAAGTTTTCAAAATTAATATTAAAATTAAATGAGTTATCATTTTTTTATCATTCTTAATATTATACTTATTTCATTTCTATGCACTATATTTTAAAATGTAAAAATTATAATATTATGTCAAATTTGTATTTATGTCCTAAATTTTTTATAATTAATGTGCCACAAATAAGAGTCGTGTCATGTCTTATCTGTGTCGTGTCAGTGCATCCTAGCACAACAAAAATCCCTACCCAACATGAGCACCCCAACCTCACTTTCATGCTGATGGAGAAAGTACCCATGGAGTAGGTTGTGTATTACACTCCTATAATAAACATACATACTAATTATTAAAAAAAAAATCTTACCATTATCTTTTAAAAAGTAGGAAAATACACAATTTTAACCTTCAAAACATAATAAAAGTAATTTACATATTATATTATTGTATTTATGAGAATGTTCCTTTCGATCTCTTCAGATATGATAATAACAAAGTTTAATTAATACATTTAAATTTAAATTTAATTAAATATTATATATTTTTATTTTGAATTCCAAACATAATCTGTGAAATAAGCAAATGTAGCAACGTCCATACTTTACAACCAAAGGAATCCATTTATGTGAACAATAGGGGTCTCAACCCGTCAAGCAGCAGCATTACAAACAAAGCCTAAACTGAACTATACATATATGCACGAGTACTTTCAAGTTTTGCATCCATAATGATATATTCTAAACAGTATTTTCAAAAGGCTAAGAAAAACTATCAAAATGGTAAATCACTAATCACTTTATGTTCTAGAAGTCTTATCATGCAGAAAAAATTAAACACAATGCAATTTGGAAAAGGAAAAATTATGAACATTGTATTCAGCACTATTAAAAAATTTCATGTATTTTGGTACAAGTTCAGAATTGGTATCAAACATGGGCAAATTTTCAAAAAGAACACATTTTGATGGATCATGAGTTAAATTAAATTTAAAAAAGATCAAAAATGCAAAGGGAATTTGCATTTTATGTTAAAATGCAAAGCGAAATCGCAGTGATCATGTTTTCTATTAAAACGTGATTTTATATTGCATTTTTCATGTTTTTACTGTTCCTAATTATTATATTTTTATTCTTTTAAAAAACTGCTTCATTCTTAAAACATTTAATAAATAGTTTTATTTAAATATTAAAAATAATTTTATTGAAATAAAATTTTTTATTTTCCTATTTAAATTATTACTTTTTAAATGTTAAAAACAAAATTTTATATTAATTTTTTTTTCATATTTATAACTTATTTTTTTAAAACGAAAATAAAATTAAATTAAATTAATTTTAATAAAAATTTTATATATATAGAAATTTTATACATTTATTTTAAAAATAAATTTAAAATAATTTATAAATATATTTACTTTTCATATTAAAATATAATTAATTTAAATATTTAAATAAATTTTTATTAAATTTATTTAAATTTATTTTATTTTCATTTTAAAAAATAAGTCATTTGTTTTTAATATAAAAATATTGTTTTTAAAATTTAAATCATAATAATTTAAATCGGAAAATAAAATAATATTATTTCAATAAAATTATTTCTAATATTTAAATAAAACTATTTATTAAATGTCTTAAGAATGAAGTAGATTTTTAAAAGAATAAAAAATAAATAATTAGAAACAGTAAAAAACATGAAAAATGCAATATAAAATCACGTTTTAATAGAAAACGTGATCACTGTTCACGTTTTCTATAAAAACACGATTTCGCTTTGCATTTTCTGTTAAAATGCAAATCCTCTTTACATTTTTGATCTTCTTTAAATTTAATTTAACTCATGACCCTTCTCCTAAATCGTAAATCAAATGTGTTCCTTATAAAAATTTACCCTATCAAACATATCATTAACTATCAATGTCCAGGCTTGTGATTGCATGCTCTATATGACATCTTTAATTTAAATACAAGCATGCAAGAATAACAAACTTATGAAAGCCTTGTCATGTAAGTAGCAGCAACTATTTTACAAACCCTAAATGAAAGAAGCATTTGAACAATAAAGGAAGTATCTACGCAAGAAAAAAAAGGCTTAATTAAAATAACTATAGGTCATAATTACAAGCCATCAAAGAAGATAAAAATATATAAAGAGATTTATGGTATGCCTGCACGCAACAGCAACAACAACATCTAACTTTTATCCCACTATGTATGGTCGGCTACATGAATCCTTTTTACCATTGTGTCCGATTATGAATCAAATTCTTTTAGATCTAATAAAGAAAGGTCATTTCTAATATTTTCTAACCTAAGTCTTTTTAGGTCTACCTCCACCTTTTTAACATAGCATAAATTTAATACATTACTCTCCTGACCGGGTCATCAGAAGGCCGCCGTTTTATGTGACCAAACCATCTAAGATGACTCTCTCTAATCTTATCTGCCACTGGAGCTACTCCAACCTTTTCACGTATATGCCCATTTTGTATCATGTCTCTAAGAGTAAAGCCACTAATCCACCTGAGCATCCTTATCTCTGCAACACTTAACTTAATATTATGCTTCTCTTTTAATGGAAAACATTCTACGCCATAAAGCATTGCAGGTCAAGCCACCATCTTATAGAATTTTCCCTTAAGTTTGATTAAACTTTTCTATCACACAACAAGCCCAATGCATTCCTCCACTTCATCCATCCAACTTGAATTCTACTAATAATATCTCCATCAATTTCACCATCACTCGTCAAGCCTGCACGCAATAAGAGAAAAATTAATCATAATAGATATACCTGAGTGTGAGCCAACACACGGACAACAGATGCATATTTCTTCATCTTCTCAAGCTGAGTTTGGATTTCTTTCTTTCCTTCTTCAGATTCATATTTCTTCGAATACTTGGTAAAAGCCTTCTTCTTGCTCCTATACCAGTTCTTATAAAACCTCCTCCTGAGTTCTTCACTCAAATGCTGAGCCCAGACAGTATTAAGTGAACGAAGACCACGGGGAGTTTTTATATAACCAACAACCCCCACAATGACCATGGGTGGAGTCTCAATGACTGTAACAGCCTCACATGTTTCCTTCTTGTGAAGCTCTGCAAATTCAGAAAGAAATATTTTGAACAAGTTATAATCAGAGTACTTATTAAATTATTGGTTGATCCAATAACCATGAAAGATGCATTTGTTTGCATCTAGTGAAGCTCTACAAGTTGAGAAGGGAAGCTTAAAAATTGTTTTAATAAAGAGCAGTTGTGAAGTTCCAATTAATTAAATCAAAACCAAGATTGCAGCAGAATTTTTATAATGCTGACTAATAAACTACAAATTCAGATAAAAATAATAGCACGGTTTCTTGTGCCAGGAATATAAGGCTAAAACATGCATGACTCAACATAACTAAGATGATTAAAAATTTAGCAGCAGAAAAGAACATCCTCCTCTAACAAATTATCTCTTACATGTAGACTGCATTTATTAGAGGTGACAACAGAGGATACATGTAAAAAAGAATAGAAATACCTTTAACATAGCAACCAACGAAGTATTGATTATTTAAAATGATAGAAAATAAAATTTAAATTTAAACTATCATTTCTAAGGAGTCAATTGGGATCACCTTTGTTATTGGGTTTTTATTTTTCTTTGTATCCTGTATCATTTATATTTTGACACGAAAAAAAATATATATATGTTTGATGGCTTAAAAATATTTTATTTTTTTTATTAAATATCAAATAAGATAATTTATGCAATGGTGACAACTATCGCCGGTGAGGCAGTGGTGACAAGTAGAAAAATAGCAACAACAATAGTCGATCACAATGGTGGCAATGGCTAGCGACGATAATGATGTTGGCTAATTGTGTAGTTTTTAAAATACTCGACACATCTCAAAGTTGTTTTGAATAATTTTAAAGACATGGATATGTTTTAAAAAATAAAAAATAAAAAACAATTAAAAATACACAAAATATATGTTTTTTTAAAACAAAAACATAAGTGATCTGAAACAATCCCTAACTATTTCAATTTTTAAAACTTACAAAAGGTTAGTGGCTAATATACTTAATTAAACTCAAACTATGACTCTAGCTAGATTAGAAAAACCTTAGCTAGCAAGACTAAATATAAAGATGGTAGTTGGGCTATTAAAAAGTTCATTGTTCATATTTGATCGTGTAAATTCCATAATTATCTTAAGTTAAACTAATTTTATAAACTTATTCATTTAATGAGCCCAACACGAGCAATCTCATGTTTCATCCAAGGTTTAAAATTGCACACTTGAGTATTGATACGTCTTTCTTTTGTGAGGTGAGGCGTAAGCCTCAAATAATGTTAAGACATAAGTTTCAAAATCTAAAAATTGTGTAAAGTGAAAATAAATGTTAAAAGTAATTTTTTATATAATAACCAAATAATATTTTAAAGGATGACATATTAACATTCTATTGAACTAAAAAGTACAAAGTGATATGCATATGAAATAAAAAATTGCACAAGACATAAAGTAAAAAGTGATAAATTGCGCTAAACAGAATTGAAATCCAATTATTACAAGAGAAAAATAGTATAAAATGAAAAAATTACATAAAAGTACCATATAGCATCAAGTTCAACTCTACATTACTTATTTCTTAGTTTCCTACTCATCTACAATTAATTACTAAAGAAAGCTAAAACAATTGACAACAATTCTAAAATCCTCTGCACTATCATCATTGAGGGAGTCTTTATTTAGTCATTGCCATAACAATTGGTCTCACTCCTGCGTCATCCTGTGAAGTCCAATGCCTCTAAATCTGCTTCTTCTTTATCTATTTTAGTCATCTTACTCTTTCATAAATATTTATCATCAACATAAAGATGACAGTAATGCTCTAAAATTTTTAGTTGAGGAGGTAATTGTGATGTGCGGCTTCTAAGTGATACCAAGTGGCATCTACAACGGTGATGGTTGCAGCGAAGATAGCAGGCTGGAGATTAGAGCAGTTGAGAGGAAGCTATTGCGGCGCGTGGGTGCATGAAGGCGTAATTTGTTTGGTTCTCTAGCTTAGGATTTCAATAAATTTTAATTAAAAATATATAAAATGGGTATGGTTACGCCTCATGCCAGCGAGGTGAGACGCCTCAACCAAACTAAGGCGCACCCTCATAAAAAAGTTTAAGGCATAAACCTCAAGCCATTTTTCATTGGAATTTCATTTAGGCGAAACTCATATAGCGCAATTTTAAATAATGATTTGATCACATAGTGCTCGATGGTAGCTTGATTGTGCTAATACACATAAAAATATGCAAAATGATCGTGTATATAAATTTGTATGTATATATGTGCGTGTAAATGAATATATTATGTATATTCATATTCATATTCATATATTTAAATTTATATGTATATATGCACACATAAAAGGTGAAATGTTTATTCTATAATTTACATATGACAATCAAATAGAATTTATTCTTGTAAACACCTCATGCTTGATTCAATCAAAAAACAAGCTGAAAAAAAAGGCTTGTTTACTTTAAGCTAAGTCAGACAATACATGAGTTTGCTCAAGTTATACTCATTTCTACCCTTATATGGTTGGGGCATTCAAAACTAAGCATTGCATTAAATTTTTATGGAAAAAAAGAAAAATAAATTGAAGAAGAAATGCTTTAAAACTTACTTGATCCTGGCTTCTCCACCTCACGAACAATGTGAGTCATCCCAGCCTTATAGCCAAGGAAAGCTGTAAGCTTGCAGGGCTTGGTTGGGTCATCCCTTGGGAATGACTTCACTGCATTAAGAATGTGTCAATAAATGAAATATAATACATAAAAAATGCATACACAAGTTTCCAAAAATTAAGTGATAGAAGAATTTAGCATTAAATAACAATACTGATTCACACAAATGAAAATAATAAGTTGTCAAAGGCAAATGGCCAAGTGAAAAATAAAAGCTAGGCGTGAGATATTCTTGTTAAAATTTAACTCAATACATGATACTTGACAAACTATAACAAATCTCTATTTTGCAAGTTAATATATTTTGCTCATAAAATAATAGTTTATAACCCTTCTTGATTTATGCCTTGTAAAACAAGAAGGGCTTCCAAAATGTTAAAATCATGTTGCAATTAAGAAGATATGTCTTACATCCTGGTCCAAATTTCAAGCAAATCCTCAACTAAAATTTCTGTATAGCAAGATTTAACGATGGATAAAATATTCAAATTTGGTGAAACTGAAAAATGTTCAAACATTGCTGGTAAAGGAAACATAAATCTAAAGTAAACTATACATGATCCAGCAGAATCCGTTAAAAGATCAAAACCATAAATACCGAGAGAAATTGAATTAAAAACATGCATAAATCTTAATTGAATCTAAAATAAAGGAATTCATAAGCACTACAACGCAGTCAAAAGCTTAAAATTATAGGCCTTAATATAACAAAAATTGTCATTCAGCTTCAAGCTTGATAAAAAGAGAAAAAAAAAACCTTTCCCACGGTGCCGAGAAGAACGTTTCCTTGGAAGAAATCCAAGAGACCCGTGCCTCGGGTGCTCAAACTTCCTATGAGACATTTCCTCTGCTCACCCTGCATAGTATAACCGTCGTTACTCGGAAATTCTGGAAATCACAAAATTTTAGCAACTAAAAAGAATTAAACAAGAAGAAAATCGAAATCACTGCTGTTTGGATGAACATAGTCTGAGAACGAGAGACGGTATGCGATAAGAAGTAATGTGAATTTCCGAAAGTCAAATAGGTTAATTGCGTAGGCTATCTGATTGAAAGCCACATGAACAAGAAGAAGTATGAGAGAGAAACCCTAAATCCGCCCCTAGTTCTGGTGTGGAAGAAAGAGCCACAAACCTTCTACGCCAACGTCCCTCTCCGCGGCGGCGGGCTCCTAACTCTCACAGCACAACCCTAATGGTCGATTTTATACATAAGAGCAACTATAAACACCTTGAGATCAGAGAACAAAGACGAAAATACGCCCTTACAGGTCGGGCCGACGGCCCATTCTTTACAATCGAATCTCTATAATTTATTTATGTCTATATGAGAAACTATTCGGTGTAAAATTTGGACAAAGAATGTCTTCTGAAAATCAACTAAAATATCTCACGTCAGCAGCATCGAGTTATGATACCGAGCATAGGGTGATATGACACATTCTTGTTGATCTCCGGACGACGTTCAGTATCCGCACATAATAATTAATCCTCGTGTAGAAATCTTTTTTTTCCCGAGATTGTTAGTCGGACTTCAAAATGTTATGAGCAGAGAGGTTAAATTTTAAAATATTATAAAAAACTTTTTAAATTATAATTAAATTATAAAAAAATATTTATTTTTTATAATATATAAATTAAATAAATATTTGAATTAAGCTTGAACTTTAAAAACATAATATGATATAATTAATGTATTATTGACAAGTAATCGAGAGGAATTGACACCTAGCAAGCCTGGCAAGATACCCTCCCAAAGATTTCTAGATCTTACTCGCCTAGATGTGCAGGGAGAAGCATCTCTCATATGGACAATTAAGGATGTTTGCAAACCAAGCAACTCGCCAACCACCATATGAAGGAAGATTGATCATCAAAGCTTTTCGCCCTCGTCTAGGGTGGTTTCCTTCACTCATGCTTGTCCATGCTTGTCAATTCCAACAATAGTTAAGCACCTACTCACGGGGCTCTCAACTTGCCCACCATAACCATTTGGTCACAAATCTCATCATCTCCATAACAACTCACTTATCTCCCTTTCTTAAGGTCATTCAAGGCTCTAGAGCATGTCGTTAGTAACCCAAAGGCACTTACTAGTCGCAAGCTCCCCATCCCAATACTTAACAATGGACTTGCCTAATGCATACATGCTCGTACCAGTTTGGCACTACTGAACTTGCCTAAAGGTAGATTATCAAGGCTAACACAATGTTATTCTCCTTCCAGCCAATTAGAAGGCAACATGTGTCAAAATTAGTTCACATTAGAAGTATGTAAAACATTGCACTTTTTATTTATTTCTTTGTATAGTCTTGCATTTAGCCTTTGGATCCCTATAAATAAAGGTGAAGATGAGAATTTTGAATCTATAGATTCTTAGAGATTTTTTTTACGGCATCTTAAGCATTTGTACTATAAATCTTCACTAGTGGATCTTTCCCTTCATTCTCGCACAGGTTTTTATATCATTACTTAGAGTTAGCCAACTAGTAGGGTTGAAAATCATTCATTGATAGATTTGAATTCAACTTCCTTTAAAATGTGGTAAGCAAGGACTGATCCCAATGACAAAAAAATAAGCCCAACTTAACAAACAAAGTAACTAAAAGCCTTTAATGAACAAGGAGAGACCTAACTTCACTACTCACTGAGAATAGATGGATATGGAAGAGAGGTTGACCAAAATTATTCAAGATGTCCTAGGAGGGCCATTAGTGCGAACACAAAGGGAAAGCACCCTTCAGGGGCTATTTGACTCAGTAGTTTGTTGAAGAAGGCATGGTAGTAGAACATTGACCTTTACACTTGTCCATGATCTCACTCACACGTTGACGAGTAATGAAGAATATATCCCACTAGCCTAGTGAGTTATGAGAGCTAAACCTAAACTTAGCAACCCTTTTTCAAGGGAGATTATAGAGGCTTGGTGGTTGCGTAAGCCCAAGGTGCCACACTTGGAGTCTTACAAGGGTAGGATGGACTTAGTGGACCATGCTACCACTTTTAAATTAATTAATTCCTAGTTGGGCATTTATGATGCTCTTAAGTTTTGTTTGTTATTCATGTCACTCTATGAGTAAGTAGCAAGATAGTTTCCTCACATGCCAATGGGAGTCCTCAACTCTTTTCAAGAATTCAAAGATCATCTATAACATAATTTGTCAATGCCTGGATGCCCAAAAGAGCTCACAAGCTCTCTTGAAGACGTGATATGAGTTAATATGTGAATATAAACCAAAAGTTTTGAAAATCTTTATTTATGCAATCAAATATTATAAAGAGTAGCATATTATCTCTAAAGGTAAAAATTGATATTCTATAATGGTTTTAAAAAAAAAATTATTTTTATAATCAAATACATTATAGAGAATAGCATATAATTTTGATAGATAAAAATGATATTCTATAATGGTATTCAAAAATAAAAATAGGGTTTGGCAAAATAACCATATTTCTATAGATGTTTTACTACCTTATCTAAATAAGATGTAATTTACTTTAATTTTGGGTATATGTTCTCCATAAAATCAAGCCCTTGTGAGTAATTATATCTATAGAGAGATGAATCTTCTAAGAATACTCTCAATAAAAATAGTGCAAATATTTGTAAGATTTCAAAGTTTAAGATAAGGATATGATTTTGAAATTTTTAAAATGGGGTTGGCTCAAAGTGTTACCGTTATTTCCAAAAGCTACAAGAAGTAGAGTAAGTGTATTGGATTATGAAAAACTCAAAATAGCTCCAAACTATCCTACATCGGGCTATAAAGTTTTAGAATTAGGATTTTTTAATATAGTTGTCATTTTATTATAAATTTGGATTTTACTTTTCTTAATCACAAGATAAAGAAAATGCCTATGAAAATTCAGCTTCTAACCCTAAAATTAAGGTAAGCTAAGCAAAGTAATAACTCAAACCTAATCTATAAAGATATAGGTGGGACATATATATTTCGCTTTATAAAGAATTAAAGAAAGCCCGTCTCTTCTAAACTTATAGTCCTGGTAGGAGAGGACTACTAACTAAACTTAACTGGTCGAAAACATATATACTTAAATTCACACTGAAATGTAAGATATGATAGCTAGTATTTATTTAAGGAATACATATTCACAACTTAGCTACCATCTTAAGTTACCCGGGTACAAGGGATATTTGATTCTCCTAACTAAACTAATAACTTACTCTTTTTATTTTTGGTTTTATCTTTAGGGACTTGTTCTACTTTATTTGATCTTTGATTTCTAAATGTTAGTTCTACTTAATTTTAATTGATTATTTTGTTTCACAGTAAGTATTTGATCCTAAAAAGTTTGACATAAAAAAGAAATTTTAACTATCTTGAAATCAAGCATGCAAATGCCTGAAGCACACTATGTTTAGTGTTGGTGTAAATACAAAAAAAATAGTTTGTATAAATCAATGGTTTGAAACAATGGTCGTTATTCTATTGTCGATTAGTTTGGCATTTATTTCATTGATGCTTTTAACCTCAAATCATTTTGCAATTATTTTTTCCCTAACTCCTAAGCTCATTATGAGTTCAAAACTTTTTATTTCATATTACTTATTTATTTATGATTATTTAAATTTTATAAGTAAGTTATTATTATTACTATTATTATTTAAGTTAAAATCCACAGAGGGGCCTATGTGTTAATTAAAAAAAGGGTAAATTATAAGGTCCTTAAGAGGGACCTTCAGCTCTATACTACTCAGAAGAGCTACAAAACAAATCCAAAGAAAACCTATGAGCCAAAAGTCCCCTCTAATCAAAATTAAAGAGTAACATAGTAACATTCTAGGGTGGCCAGGAGCCAGCACCCAAAAAAGAATGATCCAAATGAACTCATTAAGCATAATCTTTCTGCAAAAAAGGATTAACTTGCAATCCAAAGTAACCGGAAAAATAACCAACAAAAAATAAAAGGCTGCAAGACAAAATGATAATGCATAGATAGAAGATAAATTGAATGATAGATATAATAAATCAATATTGGTGTAATAAGCAGGAATAAAAAAAAAACATAGTTGAAATGGTTAAGAATAGTAGATATATACTTTCACCACCTATAATTGAGCTGAATAGTAACCCACAATAAATAGCTAAGCAGTTTTAATTCATTACTAGAAGTTATGATAAAAAATCTACAGTACCCCCACCCCCCCTAACAGCACACAGTAAAAAGCAATGACCTGCACGGTCCATAGGTAAAGCATGGGTACAGATTAACCCAAGTTAAAGCCGAAACAAAGAGATGAGCTAAGGAATATAATAAATAAAAAGAACAACAAATTTCCACAAACACTTCTCACATCGATGATGCCCAAACTAACACAACAAACGATGTCCAAGAGATGAAGAACAACATAAAGAAGTATAATAAGGCCAGATAGAAGTACCCAAAAAAAAAAAAAAAAATGAAACACCAAAGAAGAGACAATGCCATGGTAGGATAAAATGCCCATATCAGCTGAGAGCACGAGCATGCCAATTTGTTGATACATACACTTTGGCTCACAAGAACTTGCCTAATTAACCATAGAATATAATTCAAGGCAGAGATAAAATGAGTAGAATTAATCGGCTTTAAAAAGAAATGAAGGTACATAACCTTCCAAATGAAATAAAGGTAACAGGAAACAAACCAATAATGAGTCATGAACAATTGTAATGAAACACCACCCCACCCCCACCAAAAAAAAAAAAAAAAAAAATGAAAAAAAAAAAAAAAAAACATGACATGAAAAACTAATAATAGCATTAACCCAAGCCCTAAAGAAGTCAAAACCCAAAAAAGAATCAACAAATCTAGCCCAACAGACTCCCGAATCGATAAGCAACCAAATGAGGACACCCCAAAAACAAAACAGAGAGGAGACTTAATCAAATAGACAACCCGTTCTCAAGATGACCAAAAATAAAAAAGATACAACCAATCCATCCCAAAAGAGAGAATGTTGATGTTGCGTAGAACAACAACCAAAACAGACCAAAATATAGCACAGGAAAATCAAACACCATACAAGGCATCCTGAGGAATCACAACTAGCAAAGACAAAGCAAAAATAGAAACAAAGATTATTAGGAGAGCAAAACATAAGGCAAACTCAGTACAGTCCAGCCTAACCAAGCCCTTCAATTTATCATGTAAGGAAGACCCAACAAATTTAGTAAAATCAATTAAACACCCATTCTTAGCTAAATAATCAGTAGTAACATTCCCTTCACATAAAACATGAGATATAGAATATGAAATAAAAGAATGCCATTGCTTGATATCCATAATCAT